AAGGGTAAACAAAGGAGGAGGCTGCAATGCTTGATAAGAAATGTACGCATTATCCTGCCCATGTAATTGTAACCCCTCTGTACAGTATGTTCACAAAAAATATATATAATAAAATTAAAAAAAAAAGTTTGTGAGATTCCAATAAACCACCAGAAAACTGGAAGTGGCGCTGTCGCTCAAGTGGTAGAGTGCTCACCGTGAACTGAAGAGCTAAGGGACAGTGCCCAGGCCCAGAGTTCAAGCCCCACGACTAACAAAAACAAAACAAAACAAAACAAAGAAAAACAAAGAAGAGAGACAAAGGGAATGCCAGGAAATCATTCATAATGAAGATGATTGGTTTCTCCTTCCTCATAATGTTGTGTGTGTAATGACCCATTATGAAAAGGACCACACAGAATCAACTATTCTCTTCCACTTCAAAGAGTACTAGCCAGCAAATGCAATCTGTTTATTCAGAGCAGAGAAGGTCCCATAGGTTCTCAGGCCTTTGAGATTACAAATAGAAGGCTTGTTAAACAAACCCTTCAGCTACCCCACTGAAATATAGTGGTGGTGTTGAGATTGAGAAGTGGATGGATGTAGAACTAAAAATCTAGTTCAGGTGGATCTGTCCTGGAATTGATTTTTTAAAAAAAGTTTGTGCTTGTGTGGTGTTTGTGTGTGTATTTTACTTTGCCAAGAATTCTCTATGCTCCTTGGCAGAAAGCTCAAGAGGACTTTATTCAGTCCTGTTCATTAGTCTATTTCTTCCAGAGCTCAAAGGCAATGGTTCTTCATTAATCATAAACCTGAAGAAGTTTCACAGTCACCATGAACAAGTGTTTTGACAACATGCTCCAATAGAGTGGGAAACTACTCCTGTAAGAAGGTCACTATTACAGAGTGACTTGGATTTGCCCAAGTAAATACTGCTTGTTAATTTTGTGTTTAATGTCCCATTAAAAGAAAAAAAGAAATCAGGGTCAGCCATTTATCTATGTCTGTGATCCTCTCTATGTAGGAAGTAGAGTTAGGAGAATCATGGTTTAAGGTTAATCCAGGTAGCGTTAGCAAGACAATTTGGGCAACCTAGGTTAATGGTTTGAATAAATGACTAATAAGTAGTATTAACTAGTTTAATATAGTTCAATGGTTAATAATTTGATCATGCGCTAAGCATAATGAAAAGTGGGGACTCTTAGTGATGAACTGAATGTATAGTGCCTTGTGAGGTAGAGTGAACTTTAGAGTCAGGGGTGGAATGTTAAACTTCTCAGCTGGGGTGTCCCACAGTCTCATGAGCTTCAGGCTTGGCTTCCAGCAGGTGGCACTATTGGAATGTGGTAGAAATTTAGGTTGTGCCATCTGTTGGGGGAGGTTCCGTCGTTGGTGTGGTCTTTAAGGGACATGGGGACTCTGGCCCATTCATCTCTTTGCTTTCTGCTCTGTCTTTGCAGAGGACAAGACAATGGATCAAGTAACACTGGACTGAACCGTCTAAAACTGTGAGAAGTCAAACTTTCCTCTCAAGGTTTTTTTTTTTTTTTTTTTTAAATCTTAGGTGTTTTAGCAATGTGACGAAAACTGGACTAAAACATTAGTATCATCTTTAAATAAATGTGGAATTATTTTTCAATTTGTCTCAAAAAGTGTGACTTTAAAAAAAACGGTCTTTACTTCATCAATTTGAAAAGAAGACTTGTTTAAAAACCTCTCTTACGGGGCTGGGAAGGTAGCTCAGTGGCAGAGCGCTTGCCTTGCATGCATGAGGCCCTGGGTTTGATTCCTCAGCACCACATAAGCAAAAAAGAAAAAAGCCGGAAGTGGTGCTGTGGCTCAACTGGTATAGCGCTAGCCTTGAGCTCAAGAGCTGAGGGACAGTGCCCAGGCCCAGAGTTCAGGCCCCCTGACTGGACCCCCCCCCAAAAAAAAACTCTTACACCATGGACTTTTACACAGCCAGTAGAAAGAATAAAATAAAGTCATTTGCAGGGAAATAGACAAATCATGTTAAGTGAGATAAGCTAAGCTCAGAGAGACAAATAGTTCATGTTCTCTCTGATATGTGGAAGTTAGATCTAAAATGTACTGGGAAATGACAAATTATACAGGATTCTAGATATGTACACACAGTAGGGCCAAAAGAGCATACACTTAGGAGAGAATCACAAAAGTACAATGCCTAAGTGCCTCTTTATCTTTATATAAAATAATACACATACTGAAATGAATACCAAGATATAGAAACAAGAGACTTCTCCCCCCCCACCATTTTTTTTTTTTTTTTTAGTTTTTATGACAACTGCCTTCTTTTCTTTATGTATGGTATATTCATGAGTACATCTTTGGGAGAGTTTGGGGCAGGGCACAGAACTCGGGGGAAAAAGGGTGAAAAAGTACAGTATAGAGTGCACTGGACATTGATAAAAGTGAACTATCCAACTAGTGGACGGAGATGGGAGGGAGGGCCTGAGAATGAATGAATGAACAGAAGATACTGTACAAAAGGAAATGTACACATTACCCGACTCATGTAATTATAATTTGTCTCAACTGGCCCGCTGGGACTGGGGATGAGGCAGTAATGGAGACCGGGCCATGGAATTGAGGTTTGGGGTATCAGGGGATCTGTAGCCTGCTGCCAGCTTCAGATTCCAAGGTTCCATTCACCAAAGTTTTTATTGCATTTCATACAGGGAAGTATGTGCAGATAGCAAGATAGAAACATCAACATGACAATATTCTGTATGCAAGTGGTAGATGACTTCATCTCAAGAACTAGAGCTAAACAGTAAAGAGCTTACAATTTGCATAAACTTTAGTCTACACCTCCAGGCTCTGGGGCAGTTTAGGGTCTAATTAGCCTACACCTAGGATAGAAATCTGACTTCTAGTTAAGCCAGGACTGATTGGCCTTTTCAGGAAACTGTCAGTGTCTGTGAGTATGTTGGGAGAAGGCTTTCCAAGCTTGCAATCCTTTCGGGTCTCACAGCTTGGTTTTACCAGCTCTCACACTAATTCCTCAGTACATCACCTCTAGAATAACAATAAATTTAAAAAACAAAACCTGTCCTATCTTCCATGCTATTTGGAATATCCCCCAAAGTCTCATCTGTTAAAAACTTCTCTAGATCTTGGTGCTACTGGGAGGGGAATGACATTTTAAAGATGAAGTCTAGTAAGAGGAAGTAGATCACTAGGGGCACGCCTTGGAAAGGGACATTGTATCCAGTGATTCTTCTCATTCTCCTCTCCCTCTCTCTTTCCCTTCTTCCTCGCTCTTTCTGTCTATCCCCCTCTCTCTTTGTCTTTCAATATCCCTTTTTCCTTCCCTCCAACTTCCTCCCTCTCTCTTACTCCTCCTCTCCCCCCTCTCTTTCTCCCCCCCCCCCCCCCCACCCCTCCTGCCCACCATGAATAGAGCAACTTTTCTCCAGGGCACCCTTCTGCTATGAGGTACAGACTCACCACAAGCCTGGAAGCACTATAGTTGTAACGTAAATTAAAAGTAGGTCCCCAATGAATGACAACACCACTGTGGAATCCAGGCAGGAAGAGAAGTTATTTATTCCAAATTGCCTGCCTACATGCATGGTGGAGAAGCACAGGGCTGAAAAGGGGCCTGCCACCCGAGGGCCAGGACTTAAATAGGACTTATCTGGGGGGGGGGTAGGGAGGGGAGGTGTGGCCAGGTGTGGAAAAGGTGTGGAAACACTGGATTTGTATGAGATCTCAGAGCCTGGAACCCACCCACATTCTGCTGGGAGGCAGGACCTGGACAGCCCAGGATGTGACCTCAGAGGAGGGGAGGTGACTGCTACCAAGTATTCCAGTTACCTAGGTAACACAGACACTGGGCAGAGGATTATGCAGGAGGGGGGAGATGTCTGCACAGGGCCTGAATAGTCAAGGGTCTATGGACTGAAAGCCTGAATAACACTTTGCCCCTTTTCAGTGAGCTTTCTCAGGTGTTTTGTCACAGCCACACAAAGCTGAATTAACAGCACCTCACCTGGAAAAGCAATACATAGCTACAAAAGTATTTCCTATCAGGATTCCTTTCAAGACATTCCAGTTTCCTTCAACTGTCTGATTCTGATTAAACTACCTATTATATAGACAGTAGTTCCGTGTCAAACATTTAAATGTGATCCATGTTTTCTAATACAGTGTCAAACATTTAAATGTGATCCATGTTTTCTAATATGTCAATTCATTAAAAAAAAACATTTACTAGTACGTGGGAAGAATACTGATTTTGTTTTTCCTTTTTCTTGCTCTTTCAGTAGATCTAGGACAATTACCAGAATTGCTTAAAACTGTGTTACTTTGATGACAGTATCTTCCTGCTTTGCTTGTCTTGAGCCTTTCCTCCTGGAAAAGATACAAGAGAAACAGCAAGGCAACATGTAAATGAAAAGACACAAAGAAACCATATATCTCATGCCTTCTTCAGGAAAAGCTTATCTTTCATGTCTTGGCATTGGCCATATCAATGCCTTGCCCAAAGATTCGAAACCAGTCTCTCTGGAAGTAGTTGCAAAGGCAGTTATGAGCATTTCTACTACAAATTGTATACATTTTGACATAGTCCAAGAGGAGTGGGGTGTGTGGGAAAATTGGGATGTATACCAAGGTCAAAATCCTCCTCATTCTTCATTTTTAAACCCTTTATAGCTAGTGCTGGTGGTTCATGCCTGTAATCCTACCTACTCAGGAGGCTGAGATCTGAGGATCCCATTTCAAAGCCAGCCTGGGCAGGAAAGTTGTTCAGACCCTTAGCTCCAATTAACTACCAGAAAACTGGAAGTAGTGCTGTGGCTCAATGTAGTAGAGTGCTAACCTTGAGCAAAAGAGTTCATGGATAGTGCCAAGACCCTGAGTTCAAGCACAATAAGAACAAAAAGAAAAAAAAAAGAAACCCTTTATTCACCACTCCCTTCTGAAAGATTAAAAATTAGAGTTACATTTTACAATTGCTAACTGCTGATTTCGCTTTTGTAAACTTGCTCGCGCTAACCTCTTAGCCTCTTAGCATCATCGGTTAGCGAGTGCGTGGAAGACCAAGCTCGAACTTGCAATAAACGACTCTTTGCTGTTTGCATTGATCGTGGTCTCTGGCTGTCTGTGAGGGGGCATCCGAAAACGGGGTACTTCACCACCACAGGGGATGCTCTGTGGCGAGCACTTGGCTCTTGGCCACTACTACCATGGAAAGGACACCAACTAAATTTCTTTCTTTTTTTGTTGGTCATGGGGCTTGAACTCTGGGCCTGGGCGCTGTCCCTGAGCTCTTCAGCTCAAGGCGAGCGCTCTACCACTTGAGCTACAGTGCCACTTCTGGTTTTTCTGGTGGTTTATTGGAGATAGGAGTCTCATGGTCTCTCCTGCCCGGGCTGGCTTTGAACCGCAATTGTCAGATCTCAGCCTCCTGAGTAGCTAGGATTACAGGCGTGAGCCACCAGCGCCCGGCTCTTAATTTCTTTACATTAAGGCCACCTGGGCCTTGGGAGGGGGGCACTGCTGAGCCCCCATCAGAGTCAAATTTGGCCCCAAATTTAAAACTCCACTAGTGTAAGTTCTCGGGCAAGTAAAACACTTTCTCCCCTTAAACTCTGCATTTGCTGTTCTAAAATTAGCTTCTGGTAACCTCTCCCTTCTTCCAACTAAAGGTATCCAAAGGTCAATTGATAGGTAAAATGCTCTAAACAATTGGGACAAAACTAGAGTTGAGTACTGGGTGGTCAAAGTTGGTCAAATTTTGGGCCCCTGGGAATCCCCTCCCCCCAGCACTCTTCCATACAAGTATTAGATAAACTAAATGCCTTGGTAAATCCCTGAAAGAATGTAGCCCAGAAATAGCTTGTTTATACTCATTAAATTAAAAAAATGGATGAGTTTAAGTTTAAATTCCATAAAAAGGTCAACAAGTTTGGATATTACCAAAAGTGTATAAAATTATTACATTTTTTTAAATAAAAAGTTTAGATAAAAGGGTTTTGATTATTAGTAAGCATGGAGATGATTACATTCTGTTAAATCTTCTCACTAGCATGGAGCATGTGGTGGATGCACCATCTTGGCATCATGGTGATTCAGCTGCTGTTTTGCATCTACTCAACTTGATTCTGTGACCCTCCCCAGGCTGACTTGTCCAGTGGCGCCATTATGCTATGCCATGTATCTGTTCATGTCTCCTGTTTACTTGAAGTTTCTTGTTGTTGACAAAGATTTGTATTTAAAACTGATCACGTGGTTCCATCATAATTGGGCAAAGTAATACCACTAAAATTCCAAAACTTGAAACAGCCGATTTATTTATTTATTTTGGTCCAGTTGTGGGGCCTGAACTCTGGGCCTGGGCGCTGTCCCTCAGTTCTTCAGCTCAAGGCTAGCACTCTACCACTTGATCCACAGCACCACTTCTGGGTTTTTTCTTTTTGCTTATGTGGTGCTGAGGAATGGAACCCAGGGCCTCAGGCATGCAAGGCAAGCGCTCTACCACTGAGCCACCTTCCCAACCCTAGTCTTGCCTTTGTTACCTGCTATTTGTATTTATAATAGCTTCTGACTGGTATTCCCAACCAGTCCATTATGCTCCCCCCTACCCAGTTGCCCAAAAGACCCTAGATACCCCATTCCTGCCACCTTCCTGCCCTGAGCCCAGTTATTCCTCGTTCCCTGTAATGTGCCACAACTGCGCTTAACTTTTCCGGCCCATGGCCAATGTGTGTTCTCCTATGCCATTCATGTTTACTGACCGTGCCACCTTGTCAGCTTTTGCCTGACCTTTCTAAAAGTCTCTTTCAACAGGACCTGGACCCTAAAGACCCAGCTCCAGGGATTCCTTGATGCTCCCAGGCCAGCAGAAAGTAGCCAAAAGAGCCTAAGACACCTATTGGTTCTGGTGCCTTTAAATATCTCTGCTACCTCCTCCTCAGATTACTGTGATCCAAGCAGGAAAAGTCTTATTCTCCCTCCTCCAGGATGCCTGGAGTCAGGTACCATGCTATATTTCCAGTCCAAAACAGAAAAGGCAATTTCAGGTCTTTGAATGTCCCTTCTGGAAATCAATCCCTGCAAGACATACTCCTCTCTTGGGGTACTAACAACAATTTTTTTGCCTTATATTAATTCTGTCTTACATTTAGATAACTATTGTCTTTCAAAAAGGAGGATCTTTACCAACCATTGTCAAGCACATGCTTCCTGGCCCAGCAATGGAAAAGGGACCTCTGACGACTTCACCCTTTACAACAGGAAGTAGCTCCAGAGGAAGCAACCTCTGCCCACACCCCCTGGCCTGCTACCCCCGTTTGTATTAAACAACACGGTGGGGAATGTTAGTATTATGCTCAACTTTGGTCCTCAGCTCTACCCAGACCTGAGCCGCTCCCATCCCTGCAGTTCCCTCCTTACAGCTGGCCCCTTCCTCTCTCTGCCCAGTTCCACCTGGGCTCCCATCTACCTCACTTCAGACCCTCAGACCCTCCTGCTACCTGGATAGGGACAGGTGCCACGTGCTCCTGCTTGGGGCAAATATGGCTCCTCTAATGAACCTTGTAATAATCTTTCTCCTGAGCATGCCTACCTGCCAGTCCCTTGGAATGGATGTGTGGGACCCTTCACTTGTAACCACTTTATACTAATATATTCTGGAATTATTTGCTTGTTCATTTCAATTGTAACTACCTTCTGTTTGTAAACTGCCAGCAATGTCAAAAGTATGAGTCCTTACCAATGGAGTTGAAGATTAGACATTCTTCCTTAAAGTGGGAACTCTGTGCTGACTTACCAGCCTCCTCCAACTGTGACCATCAGCAGTGTCCCTATTCCCAACCCTACTTCCAGCCAGCTGTGATGAGAACAATGTATACCTTTGCCCATTCCCTAGTAGCGATCTTTCACTGATGCCTAGCGTGTTCTCTAACTTCCTTGTATTTATTACCCCATCACCCTGGTAACCGATTGTAAAGAAAATGTGAGCCTGACTCCTTAGCAAAAAGGAGAAGGGGCAGCATTACCCTTTGGGTTAGGCCACACTGAGCTGGCCACTCTGCCCAGGGCACCGGCCTAGCTCTGGGGAGAGTGGCAGATCACCCTTGTATACAGAAGTAAAATGCCTTGACAAACTCTATCTTTTGGGTATCTATTCATTTTGTGACACTGGAGGGGTGTGTTTCCAACACTAAAATGGATAGGGTCATATTGGGATATATAGGGGAGAAGGAAATTTCCCTTACTTAGTACTTGTCTTGCTGTTACCCTCTGTGTAATCTACTAAGCCTCCTAACACAAAACACATAAATGGATAAGATGAAACTAAACCATAATAGATATGATACTTCCTGTACCAATGGCACTGACTTGTTAGAAAGAGCCTCTCTAGGTCTGTTGGGAAACCATGGCCCTGAATGGTGTTTGGCCTTCCTCCTCCCAGACCCATAGCACAGGACTTCATGAGGAACAGCCAGAAGTTTAACTCACTCATTTTCCACATCTTGGATGGAGTCAGGCAGAGGTTGGTTCCTGGTTTCAGGAAGGAGGAGGACTATAAAGCCACCAAGAACAGAGAAGGCACCATAGATGATCCAGGGCAAGGGAGCAGAATAAACTGCGAGAATCATCAACAGGGGAGCCAGTGAGGACCCAAGGCTACCAGCAAGTCCAATGATTCCTAAAGCAGTGGCCCTTAGAGCACAAAGCACAATACAGAAACAAAATGTTAGAAATACTCACGTGGACTTTGGCACTTGTGACTTATCTTACAATATGGGATTGAGGAAGCAGTGTATTTAGACATATGGAGATTGTGGACTGACTCTAGCCTTTGAAATTCCTGTTGCTTTGCTAGCATTTCCTCACAGATACATAGACATCTGTGTATCATTTAGCAATGCCATTCTTCATGGCATCTACTTTTAAGTGATTCCAAGGATTAAAGGAGTAGGGCAGCAATGGCTCATGCCTCTAATCCTAGGTACTTAGGAACATGGTTCAAGGCCAGCTTGGACAGAAAAGTCCACATGAGACTCTTCTCTCCAATTAACCACTCAAAAACTGGAAATGGCACTGTGGCTCAAGGGGTAGAGCCTTAGCCTTGAGCACAAAGAGGCTCAGGGACAGTGCCCACGCCCTGAGTACAAGCCCGACAACTGACCAAAAAAAATCCAAACAACATCAAGAATATTGTAAGAGGCCTAGAGGAATGATAGTCAGTGGATTTCACAGTACCTTGGCAAAAGCAAGCTTTCACTCAACTGTGGCTGGAGTTGTTTTCATTGCAATGATTTGCCTTTGTGAAATATCCTGCCCCCCCCTTTTTATTTTTTTAATTAGTTTGAAGAATGAAGGTGCTGAAAAAGGTCTGATCCTAACAGCAAACAGATGAGGTTCTGTACCTGACTACGGTGGGGAGTAGTTCATTTGAATGTGTTAGCAAACTGGAAAGGGAAGCACTCCCAAATCCTCCTCCCAGAGTTGAGAGAACCAGACGAAGGGTTTGCATTTCTGGAGAGAGGAAGAACCAGAGAGAGTCAGGAAGTCCCAGCTGCCACAATCAGCATTTCCTGCTCATAATCGCAAACACCTTGATTGGAATTGTGTACAGGGTTACAGTGTATCACAGAGGAACTAAACAGAGGCAGAGTTCCTGCAGTGGATAACAAGTGAGAAATGTGCCTTCTCTACACAGTTTGGTTTAGGATGGATCACTGATTCTGAATGATTGTATTCAGTCTCTTTGCATCGCTGACATTTGCTAGAGAGGGACAGAGGTTGAGGAATTGAAGCAGAGTTCACTTTTCTCTTTTCTGCCCAGTGTCTCCTCTGTCCTTAGCAGAATGTTGAACTGTCATGTGAGAAACTGCTGAGGGTGTGTGCAGGATCTATCTTGGCCCTCAAGGAGTTTACAGCCATGACCCATGTGCCCACAACACGGGGTTAGTACTGTGCAAGTCCTACACGGATGGAAAGCCTGGAGAGTAGCTAGATCTATGATGATGTGTCAAGAATCTTGAGTAAAGGCTTCTTTTAGTAAGAATTTCAGAGTTTAGAAACAATAGTTTTCTCCACAATAGGAGAGCATGAGACATTGGAGTCATTATTGAGACAGAGCGTCACACTGAAGTCCAGGCTGACATGTAAGAGGATCTGAGCCCATCAGTTTGGGATTTTACAAAACACACTACTATTCTGTGAGTTCAGAAAAACATGGTGACCACCTGCACTTTTCTTTCTCATTACATATGTCCACTTGATTTTGTAAAATTGACTCTAAGGTAGTCTGAGGTGATCCATAACTGTGACTTGTATTTCTTCTTTATTTGAAGACAAGTAGTATCTACTTTCTCAGGAGATAATTCTCCAAACTGAAATTACATAAATGGTGTCCTGTGATGATATTCATACATGGATAAACAGAGTTTAGGAAATATGAATTGTCACTGAAGAACAAGTAAGAAGACAGAGCTGGACAGAAGAAGGGACAGTCTAGTGTGGTCTTAGTAGGACCAAAATACAAGATGTAGACCTAATATGTCTATTGCTGGCCTAGAGGAAAGCTGGCAGAAATGACAGCTGTACCTACATACATATCAACTGTAATGAAGGAAATCTCTCCCTGCTGTTGAATGTCAGAATGTCAGCTAAATGCCTAGATTGGTCGCTGGGAATTGTTGGAACTCTATTTTTACAATTACAGAAATACATCATCTATGAACCCTTGAGAAAATTGGGTAGATATTTCTTTTCTACTCTGTGTGTTTTCCTTACCTTGAGGCACCAATGCAGTAGCCAGAATGAAGGTCCCCGTAAACAACATGAAAAGAAATTGACTTATTCGACGGCCCAGGTGATTCAGTGCAATAAGTGTTATACAATTAGCTGGGATGCTCTGGGCACCAAAGAGAATCACCAGCAGAAAAGTATTACTTCCCAAGTTCTGGAGGTTGAGTATTAAGCCATAAGTGAGCAAGTATATTACAAATCTGTAGTGAACAGAGAGTAAAACATATAAAGTTACAGACTATGTCCTACTGATTACAGCAACATTAGTGCAGATAGTCAGTTTTTGAAAACCAATGAAGGTATAATTTTTATCAAAGTATTTCCTTGCAAGTGGTTATCATTTTTATAAATATAATAATGCTTATTATTATTGTTATTATTATTTTCCAGTTTGGGAGCTTGAACTCAGGACCTGGGCAATATTCTTGGGCTTTCCTTTTCTTTCCTCTCTGAAAGCTGGAGCTTTGACACTTCAGCCACAGCTCTACTTCTGGCTTTTTGGCTAATTGGAGATAAGAACGTGCCCAGGTTGGCTTTGAACTGTGATCTCAGCCTCCTGCGTTGTTAGCATGCTGAGTTGCTCATGCCCAGCTACTAGTGAATA